GGGGGGGGCGATTGAGAACAAGAGAAAGATGAAATCTGAGTAACAGGTAAGCCAGACTGAGTGTGTGGCGTAGCAGTGAGGAGAGAGAGTGGCATCTGCGCGCGAGTGTGAGTGGATTGTTTCTAAATTAATAATATTAATTTAATTAATATTATTATAATATATATATTGCGATTTAAGCGTTTTCTAAGAAACTCATGTTTCTGGAATACCTGGTCAATAATAATTATTGAAGTAGTATAATGTTAAGCTTTACTGCAAAAGTACATTTTTAAATAGAGCGATCTTAGTAGCGAGTTTTTAGTTTTGTAGGAATGTTTTTAGTTTCATCCATCCTTTCGTGGAGACATACTTCACTGTCTGCTTCTATTTTCAGGAATCTGCTTCGTCTGTTTACATTTGTGAATTGCATACTGGACCCGCTTTTGCGAAACAGTTCTTTTGCAATTTTTTTTCCATTGAATCGCCTTTTTTCCACATGATAAAAAATCACTTGTCGTTCTGTCTCAGTGGTGTGTTTCGCAGGACCCATCTCGAAAGTTCAATAAAATACCTAATGTTAGAAAACTACGTGTACATCACGAACAATTCAAATAGAATCGAAATTGCAGGCCAATGGTTCAAATCATATTTATAAAACCATAGCCAAATAGTTGCCCTCCAGCACACCAAAGAAAACAAAACCTCCACATACTAATCATGCCTTCAAATGATAAATTGTAGAGTCCCGCAAGGACCCATCCTTGGGCCAATACTATTCCCTATATACATAAATGACATGCCTTTGGCTTCAATAACAAAATAATTTTGTTTGCAGATGACACAAACAAAATCATCAAAGCAAAAACACAACAATCATTAGAAAAAGAAACTCACAAAACTTTGCATGCACCAGTAAAATGATTTCAAGATAACAAACTCATCATAATCACCAGCAAGACAGTCTCGTTAAATTTCATGAAACCCCGATCTAAAGAAAAACTCACAGCATTTGCTCATAAATAATAACTGTATCGATATCTCATGAAACTACCTTCCTTGGTCAAACAATTCAAGAAAACCTAAAATGGAATACTCACATCTCAAATCTTAACAAGAAGCTCACCAAATCTTGTTATGCCCTATACACCCTCAGGTCAAGTTCCAACATTAAGACACTTCAAACCATGTATTTTGTAAATGTGCACTCACACCTAAAATCTGGAATAATATTCTGGGGAAACGCCCCTGATAGCACTCACCCATGTATACTCATTACTCATAAGCTGGAGTCTTGCAAACCCTTGTTCAATAAACTAAGAATTCTTCCTCTACCATGCATGTATATATTTGAAATAGTGGTCTTCACAAAGATTCTCATGGAATTCCAATATACACAAATTCAACACTCGTCAAAAGGATATCTTACATGTTCCCCATTCTGAAACTACACATTATCAAAAAAGTACCCTATAGAGGGCATTACTCTTTTCAACAAACTAGGCAATACTATTAAAGACATACACACAATTCATTCATTTAAAAGTAAATTGAAAGCTTTCCTGCTTAACAACATGTTCTAGGTATAACGCGACTTGCGATGTAGAAGGAGAATGCCTGACCAAAATTTGTTTCCTTCACTCTAGATTAGCTAGATGCATTAGTTGCTGCGGTATGACTAGGTGTACAAACAGGAGGAGAAAAAAAAGAAGAAAACTGGTCAAAACCTCCCTCCTCACCATTTCAAAATCTAACATAGAATGTATTAATACTGTTAAATTTTATGTAGTTGCTACCATAATTGATATCAGGTACTATTTTAATAATAATATTACTAATACATTCATCATGGAGTTAAACAAGGTGACACCCCAATGGGGTGATAGGTACCTGCAGACATTGTGAGGACAATGACACAGTGCTGCCTAACAGTGGCTTCCCCACTCACCCAGGACTTCAAAGCCCTATTCGTAACCAATTATCCGGGAATGGATTAGCTACCTATTGCCCGTCTGGAAGAGACTGAGATTTGTGGCACGCAATACATACTACACGCTACATACTACACATATGACGCGGGGTGTGCGTTTAGCATACAGAGGGCAAGAGAGGAAGCACAGGATCATTAAAGGAATGGTGGTGATTTGTGAAATAGGAGATGGAGAAAGAAACACACGAAAGCCTTCTCAGCATCCCCCGTCAGGAAGTAGAACAGCTCGACGAGAAAAGAACTACGAACAGATTCAGAGTTGAATCATGAAATAAGGCGGTTAGCATAGGTGAATAGAAATTAATTCAAAATTGGCGCCGTACATGGAATTCAATCATTTATAACAATTCGGTGGCGCTAATTAATAGTGAAGAACATACATTTCAAATTTGCCGCGTTCCAGAGGACGGAAATTCATTTGTTATGAAATTCTTGGATCGAAATACTGAACAGCTTTCAAAGCTTTCAATCGCGGCACCTCCTGACCTGCCGTCCAAGCAGCTGTGCACATTGTGGCATTTCTTAGAATCCGATTCTTTTCTAAGACGCGACAGGATAGCATTGTTTCAGAATCTGGGGCAGTTTCGTGGCGACCCACCTCGCTCGTGTAAAGAAGCTAAGTATTGGATGCACTGAAAGTTGGATTTCTCCGTTGGCAAGCGTTCCTAGCACGGTAATGCATCCGTGAGCCAGCATTTTGAAACGCGGCAAAAACAGACTAGAGCCATTCAAAGCCATGCGGCAGTGCGTATGCTAAGGGATTGCCATAGCGTTATCTATAGTTGTTGAAAAATGTCAATGCTAATGAAATAAATTCTCAATTGTTATATTTTTACAACCGCGGCAGAAACGAGGGGGGTGTAAAAAACCTACGTATCACAAATTAGATTGTTTAAGAAACTGAAAAACTGATTTTTCTGAAACTGTTCTATGTTGAAGAAACAGACAAAAAAAATATGGGCCATATTCTCTTGTGAATTGGTAAATGGCTTATAAATGAGTATAACATTATTGTTTTGTTTTTTGTCCCCAATCGTCAAATTCAAGAGAGCTGCCAATCGAAATAAATTTAGAGAAACCTACATGGTATTGCTGTACATTCAAACACCCAAACTCACTCCAACTATCCATTCCCTCACCTCAAACTCTTTCCTATATGACATGCAAAGTCACTAACACCCGACGCAAAAACTGCCCTCATTACTAAGTATTACGTGGCGTCAACGCACAGGATTCGTCTTTCGCGAAGCAACTGGCGTCTATCTGCATCTAGAGAGAATCGAGGAAGCCTCGAGATCGGCACGCGTGATCGTAGTCCGGCTTCCAGCACACGGTTGCAGATGTATTTTCTGCATGCTCTGAATGCGCCACTGGCCCTAATTTGCTCTGCAATCACGGAGAGATCCACAATTGACGTAGAGCTTGGAGTATTGAGTACGCCGCAGCTTCTGGAAGCAGGCAGGCGGGCACGTGCAACTTGGAACCTATGCAACGGCGCCAAGTGGTGCACAACACCTTACCTCTCCAGAGGTGCTGAACACGCGTGACAACAGAGTTCAAATTCGAGTCCCTCAAACAAGAAATTGCAGATAACACACGTCCTTTACAGGCCAGCAGATGTCAACATTTTGAGAGATAACAGCGTTCGCTTCTAACTCTGTAAGATGCTGCTTCTACACTCAGAAATTAGATGTTTTCATTTGTAGACTTGGCAATGAAAATCAACCCATTCCATTCGTGGTTATATTACAAAAGAGAAATGTCTTCACACGCTGTTTGATGTGAACGGGATTTTTGTCGCTACGTTTTTTGTGTTAAAAAGCTGAATTTGAAGTGTCCATTTGCGCGGTTATAAAGAATATTTTACACTTCGCAAAAAGAGACATTTGGTAGATACTGGAATGAACAGGTATTGACAGCAAACATCTCATTTACTGCCTTCTAACAATTTTTTCCGCATTTTTTGCCAGAGCAGAACATTAATACTGGCGAATTTACACAACATATTTGCATAAATTAGCTCACCTGTAGTTATCTTCATCGCCTTTGATGTGTGCATAAACAGCCATCATTATGCTCGGGCGATCTTTTGTCAATGGTATAGTGATATTGAAATTCACATCAGAATGAGCCAACCCAGCCATATATTTTGAAGAGCCATACAATTTCACTGAGCAACCTTTAAGAAAAGCAAATGTATAAGTACTACAACAAAAAGAAACTGATATTTGTTATGCATTTAAATGGTATATTACAAATGAATGTTATTTTCTCATCAGTGATCAACAGAAGTCACTTCATCTTTTATGGTAACTTTCATTTAAGTTTTTTTTTTCGTTTTTCGCAGATGATAATTACAAAAATAATCTATAAAGCCATAAAGGGTCTAATCAACAAAGTCAATATAAAGAAAGTTCATAGAATAGAATCACATATTTCTACAGCCACCACACCTATTCTCAATTGTACCCATGTTTTATATATGCCATTACACTATAAAATTCGCCCCATATTGATCACCATTCTACATAGCAGTAGTAGTAGAAATAGTATCAATAAGAATATAAATAATATAAATAACAATAATAATAATAATAATAATAATAATAATAATAATAATAATGATAATATCCATACTAACTTGGGTATGTAGCTTTTATATATTCTTCTATGCGTTGTAAAATTGTGTGCCGTTCACCAACTTTGGAAATACCATTCTCAGAGATAAGTTTCTTGATCATATCAGTTAGCACTCTTTTCTGCTCATCCACTGGTGCAGGAAGCAAATTTACACTTTCTGCTTCGATAATACCCTAAAACAATTATTAATAATTTTTATGACAAACATTTTATAGAGCAAGTAAATATTTAATTAGAATTTTAAAATTCATAGACACAACAAATGCCATTCATTTGCATATTACTTTATTCACTACTCCAAAGTAAATTATTAATTATTTCGTTGATAGTCATAGGACACTGCATACATTACACGAGATGAATATTGGGTAAAATCAATACCACCCACATTCCCGAAGTAAAATAACTAGTTTCATGTAGACCCCTATCACCTTCATTTTCCTAATGTAAGATAGAAAATAGTGCAACAAAAGCACATGCTTCTATTTTTGTGATGCTTATGAAACTATTATACTACTACTGGAGTATTCATATGCTTGGAGAGTAAAGTTAGAGCTATCACATGCCCATTATAACATTCAAAAAAGTTCAAAATTGAATTTCTTACAAGAATATCAAGTCAATCTTTCAATTTTATGGGTTCCCCTTAGACCGGTTACGATTATTTTCAGGCAAACATGCTATGTTATAATTTGGCCATTATCTCTCATGATATATACTCATTACTAGGGGAACTAGAGATACATAAAAATTCTTCCACTTAGTAATGCAATACAAGAACGATACATTCTCTTCTTATTCACTAGGGGAACTAGAGGTACATAAAAATTCTTCCATCTAGTAATGCAACACAAGAATGATACGTTCTCTTCTTATTCACCACTATGGTAAACAACTTTCTTTGATTAGGTCTTTGCTTGATAAGTTAAGGGTTAAAATGTTATTAAAATTATTTTATATGAAAATTAGTAGTAAAAAGCGAGAAAATTTTATTTATTGATTCAATGTAATTATGAGATATGTATCATTAGTGTCATTGATTATATTATACAGTAACTATACTGATAGTGGGGAGTTGTCTTCCGGGCGATTGAGCCGCAAAGCGCCCAATCCCGCGTTCCCCTTACCCGCCAGCGAGGGCAGTTTCTGTGACACAGGAATGTCTCCTCTCTGTTCTTTCCCTTCAATGCTGAGTATCTCAACCCGTTCCTTGTCCCACGCCACAAATTACGAAGGAACTAAAAGAAAATATATTTAAGATGAAAATTCAGCATGAATCTGGCAGCGATGCGCTTGAAATCCCACGAATTTCCGTAGAAATCAAAATGCACGCGAGGTTTCTGGCCTCCGATATCTCCCGGTATGTCAACCCTCAACGTTTCTTGGAGAAGTTTTTTGAAAGACGAGCATATAAAAACAACCCACGCACAATAACGAAGCTAAAGGAATGTACTGAGAGAAATTTCAAATATATTTAAGATTTGAATACAGGAGAGTAGGAATAATGTCGTCGGAGAAAGACACAAGTACAATTAGCCGAGAGAGGAGAGAATTTTCAATATCTCCTGTGAGGTACGTTGGGTTGAAGGGCGCAGCGCTGGGATGGAGAAAGGGCCATTGCGCTGTCAAATGGACTCCTCTCCGGCGACCGCACAGTTCTTCAATAGACACCTGTAATTTTATGTTTGTGACGCACGTCATTTTTAGCCAATTTCAACGTGCAATGTTTCCAAAAAAAAGAAGAAAATAAGAAAGGACTACATAACTTATCTGACAACTACAATAAATTTAAAAAAGTATGAATGCCAAATGTTGGCCATAATTGTGCGATTTTACATTGAATGGATCACATAACTAAATTGAATTGAATTAATGCCTTATTTTACGTTGCGAGACTCGAGCAAGCAGGCCCGCACTTCCGTCTGACCACGCAAATTTCGCTACGCTTCTATCACCAACTAGCGGAGAAACGAGGTATTTCTTGGGCGACGAAACAGGCGATTTGAATTTTGCTCCGAGGCGTCATTTGGGCTTGAGGATCTTTTACATGCAAGTAAATCTACGAACATGGGACAGCCGGCTTTACTTTCCCTCCGAAGGAAGGCGGACGAAGGATTTTCTTGCCCTTAAAAATCCACGGCTTCGATCGGACTGTTATACCCGCCATTACACCATCGCTGCCAATGTACATTATTAGACAATCCTAATGTATACTCCTTACCTCTAATGCATTGAAATGTGATAATGAATCAATATGATTCTCCAGTACAACCCAGGAATCACAGAAGTAATTGCAAAGTTTGCACATGAATCTTCCCCGATTCTTCATGGTAGGCTAAAAAAAACGGGAAAATACCTGATTAGATCATTAATACATCACTAGAAATATTACACCGTTACATTGATAGTTAATTGAATTGCACATTAATTGGGAATATATCTTTCATAAAAAAAATTAGGAAAAAGGAAGTAGGTTCATTTTAAACACCACATACTCCTCATTACGATTCATAGAACATATTAATTCCATAGTATTCCACACAGCAAATGCAGCAACGACCGTCTAGGAGAGTGATGTGTTACGTTTCTCAAACTTTATATGTAATAATCTAACATTTTATTCGCAGTGTGGCGAGTATCGTTGGTCGCATCGAACAAAGAGAAATTACCGCTGCTCAACAGCAGCTTTCTCACATCATTTGTAATGGCTACGCAAAATTAGACTACTATATGAACCTTCAAAAGTGTTTCCAACCACCAAATATTTTCTCCGTGTCACGAGATTCGAACTAAGGTCCATGGAAACTTTACCGCTAAACCACGCAGACACTAGGACGTACTTACATTTGCCGTACTTCAAGCTTCTGCTTGAAGCTTATATATGTGTATTATAAAAAAAATCTCATAAATTATTCGAAAACTACCATAAAAAATTAACAACCTTTTCTGAAGCAATATTTTTTGAAGAGATTTCATTTAAGACAAAAATGTCTACCATCAATATTGTAATTTTGCAATGTTAATGATTTGCAGTTCTCGAAAAAAGTTTACTGAAAATGGAACCACCGGCATTTTTCCGACATTTAGTACACACAAAAAGTAAATATAAATAAAAAAAAGGAGCCAATTATGATATTTTTTATATAAAATGCATTGACCAAGCCGAAATTATGCGAAAACTGCTCTTTTTTAAAAATGTACACGCTCTTATTTGTAGATCTTTTTTTTAAAACATTGTTATACCCTGCGAGAGCTACTACCCCATGCACATATTTTTCTACAGGGGGAATTGCTCCTCAGGGAGCGCATCTAAGCTTTTCACCTATATCCGCACTCCTTCACAGCACAGATGTACACCAGGCTAGCACCCGGATCCCGGTGGAACACAAACCCATCAGGTCCTCCCCAATTAGGCCTGGGTGGTGTTTATCTGCCAGTTCAGAGCTACTAGCTTTCCGGGATAATAATAATAATAATAATAATAATAATAATAATAATAATAATAATAATAATAATAATAAT